GTCCCGCCCCCGCCTCCCGCGCCGGCGCGCCCGGCCTACAGCGGGCGGGGGAGGGGAGCGCGGGCGCATGCGCGGGCCACTGGCTGCTGGACCGGCCCCTGCAGTTCGGTCACGTCCACCCGCGCGCTCCCGCCGGAGCCGAGAGCCCGCTAACCTGGTGGATCCCGCCTCCGCAGACCAGCTCTCTGTACAGGGGTGGGGAAACTGAGGCCTGGGGACGGCTGCATAGCCTAGACTGTGCAGGAGGTGGGAGATGAGGAGGCCTGGAAATAAAAAGACCTCATCCAGGATCTTATGCCATGATCCCTCCCAGATTCTGCACCAAGACCTCATCCAGGATGCTGTGCCAAGACCTCTCCCAGGATCCTGAAACCAAGACTTCATCCAGGGTCCTGCACCCGTCCAGGATCTGTGTCAAGACCCCTCCCAGGATCCTGAACAGTAAACTCCCGACAGACTGCAGAAACCCATTTATTCATTTAAGTTACCAAGCCCCTACTAACTGCCAGGCCTTGAGAATACAAAAGCCAAATAAATTAGACATGCCCTCTGGGATTTGACAGAGGCTCATCAAGTTATTAAATACAATTTCAAATTCAGTTTACTTGAGATTAGGGAGTGCAGGTCAGTGGTAGGGTGTGTAGCATGCTCAAGGCTTGGGGTTCCATTTCCAGCACTGCCAAAGGTTTTTCTATGAATTTCTTCCATGTGTCCAGAAAGCCACCTAGCTAGCCCCTTGAGGTGAGGGAAGGCTTCCCTGATGAAGAGAGACTTGCTCTGAGGCCTGACTTGTGAACTGGATTAACAGGTGCTGGGTGTAAGCCAGGGATATCAGAGAAAGCTTATCAACCAGAGGTATGTGCTCTGGGAGGGGAAGAGGGAGGATGCTAGAGTTGGGTAGCTCTAGAAAGATGACCCTTGAACCCATGGAGCAGTGGGGTGGAGGGAGTGCAGGATCCTGAGAAGTACCCATTGTGGGGGACACAAGACACCAAGAAGGTGGTACTGGCTCTCTCTCTCTCTCTCTCTCTCTCTCTCTCTCTCTCTCTCTCTCTCTCTCTCTGCCTTCCTGACACCTCTGGGTGGTGCCCAGGCTTTCACAGTTGCAGATCTCCAGTTCCTCTTCCCCACCTGGAGTTCAACATAAGGCTCCACCATCTTCCTCAGCACCCAAGCAGAACTCATGAAGCCTTCTGAATCCTTCTCCCCACCTCTCCAAGGTCCTGGGGTGGTGACATGCTCTGTAATCTCTGGATTAGCAACCCTTAGCATTATCCTCAGATGGGATTTTCTTTCTAAAATTTTATGTATCATTAACATTGTGTGTGTGATGTGTGTGAGTGTGTGCATGCTACGGCTTACTGTGTAGAAGTCAAAGGACAACTTTAGAGTCAGTTCTCTCCTTCCATCTTTAAGTGGGTTCCAGGGATCAAATGCAGGTCACCAGCCTTTCAGGGGACTCGCCTTTACCCACTGAGCCATCTCACTAACCCTCAAATAGGATTTTCAGTGGGGGTTGCTACTGCCCTTAAGGATGGGTATTGGGAGGTGATGTGTAGGGATGTTTTTGTTGTCTTGCTGAGGTGACAGAACCACTGGCACTTAGAGGGCAGGACCCAGGGAGGTTAAAGACACTGCAGTATACTAAAGTTCCCTATAATGAGAAGCTGCTCATTCCTAAAAGACACTGTTGGGTAGGTGCAAGCTCTATTTATAATGAAATGAAGGTGGAACCAGGATCTTCTTGCTGTATCAACACAAACTATCTCCCACTGTACTTTCAGAGCACAGCCATGCTGAGATAGAGGGCAGGATAAACTGTGAGCATGGTCCACAAAATTTTAAAGTTATTTATTATTTTTATTTTTTATGTGCATGAGTATTGTCTGCATGCGTACCAGTGTCGCACAGTGCCCACGGAGGTCATAAGAGGTGTCAGGAACTGGAGTTACAGATGGTTGTTAGCTGCTATGTGAGTGCTGGGAACTGAACCCAGGTCCTCTGCAAGAACAGTCCAGTGCTCTTAATCGATGAGGCATCTCTTCAGCCCCATGGTCCCCAAATTTTCAGCATTAAGGCAAAGAGTTTTTTGATGACAGCACCACTCCTAACATGACATACCTATATTTAGGGCTGTGCTTTGGCTGACAGATGACCATAAGTATTTCACACCTGTTTCAAAATGTCCCTAGGATCAGGTAAAGTTATGGACACAATCCAGTAGAAAAGGGAATATGTTCTCCAGTATATTCATGATAAACATGCTTCTGAAACCTCCCAGTGTCCTCTCAGAGCAGAGGCCAAGTGTCTGAGTAGGACAGTGTGTGTGGTTTCATTATGACTTATTTTATCTTAGTTCTCAAATTTGAGTGTTTCATGATCCCCAGAGAAAACAGTCCCTTGGCTTGGTTAGAGGTGAGGCTGGAATTTTTGCATGTCTTGTGAGTTCTCAGCCTGTGTGAATACTGCTGGTTGAATCTCTACCTATGCCATTGGTACCTACACCCCATCCTGCCCATAGTCCTTGTCCTGGCCTTCTGCCTCTCCTGTTACCCACACCCCTCTCCTGGCCAGCCTGCTCCTTCTCATTTCCTCATTTTCAGCTGACAGGCTCTA